ACATGGCAGGACCTGGTCAATGACCTGAAGAGAGCTGGGACCACAGTCTCAAAGAAAACCATTAGTAACACACTACGCCGTCATGGATTAAAATCCTGCAGCGCACGCAAGGTCCCCCTGCTCAAGCCAGCGCATGTCCAGGCCCGTCTGAAGTTTGCCAATGACCATCTGGATGATCCAGAGGAGGAATGGGAGAAGGTCATATGGTCTGATGAGACAAAAATATAGCTTTTTGGTCTAAACTCCACTCGCCGTGTTTGGAGGAAGAAGAAGGATGAGTACAACCCCAAGAACACCATCCCAACCATGAAGCATGGAGGTGGAAACATCATTCTTTGGGGATGCTTTTCTGGAAAGTGGACAGGACGACTGCACCGCATTGAGGGGAGGATGGATGGGGCCATGTATCGCGAGATCTTGGCCAACAACCTCCTTCCCTCAGTAAGAGCATTGAAGATGGGTCGTGGCTGGGTCTTCCAGCATGACAATGACCCGAAACACACAGCCAGGGCAACTAAGGAGTGGCTCCGTAAAAAGCATCTCAAGGTCCTGGAGTGGCCTAGCCAGTCTCCAGACCTGAACCCGATAGAAAATCTTTGGAGGGAGCTGAAAGTCCGTATTGCCCAGCGACAGCCCCGAAACCTGAAGGATCTGGAGAAGGTCTGTATGGAGGAGTGGGCCAAAATCCCTGCTGCAGTGTGTGCAAACCTGGTCAAGACCTACAGGAAACGTATGATCTCTGTAATTGCAAACAAAGGTTTCTGTACCAAATATTAAGTTCTGCTTTTCTGATGTATCAAATACTTATGTAATGCAATAACATTTAAATTAATTACTTAAAAATCATACAATGTGAATTTCTGGATTTTTGTTTTAGATTCCGTCTCTCACAGTTGAAGTGTACCTATGATAAAAATTACAGACCTCTACATGCTTTGTAAGTAGGAAAACCTGCAAAATCGGCAGTGTATCAAATACTTGTTCTCCCCACTGTATATATATTTGCGAGAAAAAAGTGATGCAGACAATTACATTGATAGAAGTTACAATCTATCTGCAATATTAAAGCTGATCTTTTAGAAATTTTTGCAAATGTATTAAAAAACAGAAATACCTTATTTACATAAGTATTCAGACCCTTTGCTATGAAACTCCAAAATGAGCTCAGATGCATCCTGTTTCCATTGATCATCCTTGAGATGTTTCTACAACTTGATTGGATTCCACCTGTGGTAAATTCATTTGATTGGACATGATTTGGAAAGGCACACACCTGTTTATATAAGGTCCCACAATTGACAGTGCATGTCAGAGCAAAAACCAAGCCATGAGGTTGAAGGAATTGTCCATAGAGCTCCAAGACAGGATTGTGTCGAGGCACAGATCTGGGGAAGGGTACCAAAAAATGTCTGCAGCATTGAAGGTCCCCAAGAACACAGTGGCCTCCATCATTCTTAAATGGAAGAAGTTTGGAACCACCAAGACTCCTCCTAGAGCTGGCAGCCTGCCAAACTGAGCAATTGGGGGAGAAGGGCCTTGGTCAGGGAGGTGACCAAGAACCTGATGGTCAGTCGGACAGAGCTCTAGAGTTCCTCTGTGGAGATGGGAGAACCTTCCAGAAGGATAACCATCTCTGCAGCACTCCACCAATCAGACCTTTATGGTAGAGTGGCCAGACTGACGCCACTCCTCAGTAAAAGGCACATGACAGCCCGCTTGGAGTTTGCCAAAAGGCACCTAAGGACTCTCAGACCATGAGAAACAAGATTCTCTGGTCTGATGAAACCAAGATTTAACTCTTTGGCCTGAATGCCAAGTGTCACTTCTAGAGGAAACCTGGCACCATCCCTACGGTGAAGCATGGTGATGACAGCATCATGCTGTGAGGATGTTTTTCAGCGGCAGGGACTGGGAGACTAGTCAAGATCGAGGCAAACATGAACTGAGCAAAGTACAGAGAGATCCTTGATGAAAACCTGCTCCAGAGCGCTCAGGACCTCAGACTGGGGCAAAGGTTCACCTTCCAACAGGACAACGACCCTAAGCACACAGCCAAGACAACGCAGGAGTGGCTTCGGGACAAGTTTCTGAATGTCCTTGAGTGGCCCAGTCAGAGTCCGGACTTGAACCCGATCGAACATCTCTGGAGAGACATGAAAATAGCTGTGCAGCAACGCTCCCCATCCAACCTGACAGAGCTTGAGAGGATCTGCAGAGAAGAATGGGAGAATCTCCCCAAATACAGGTGTACCAAGATTGTAACGTCATACCCAAGAAGACTCGAGGCTGTAATTACTGCCAAATGTGCTTCAACAAATTACTGAGTAAAGGGTCTGAATACTTATGTAAATGTCATATTTCGGGGGGCGGGGTTATAAATTACAAATAAAATCTAAAAACCAGTTTTTGCTTTGTCATTATGGGGTATTGTGTGTAGATTTATGAGGGGAAAAAACAATTTAATCCATTTTAGAAGAAGACTGTAACGTAACAAAATGTGGAAAAAGTCAAGGGGTTTGAAGACACCAGATGAATTTACACAATATCTAGTAAGAATGTTATGTACAGCATTAGATGCTGTATATGAGAGTGTTCTATGTCAAGAATTCAGTATATAAATAAATATGCAGTGTCTATTAACAATTTAACTAAAATGCAATGTACAGTAGTAGAAATAATAGAATGAGCTATGTCGAGAATACAGTATATATGAATACACAGTAAAAAAATAAACAAGGCAAAAAGATTGCAGGAAATTCGTTTCTGGACCAGAATATAAATATACTGTATATGTATGTGAATGGTGTGTATAGACAGTATGGACAGTATGTGAATAGAAAAGGTGAATACAGTAGTAGTTATAAAGAATGAGCCTTGACTAGAATACAGTATATACATATAAAGTGGGTAAAACAGTATGTAAACATTATTAAAGTAACCAGTGTTTATAGGGCAGCAGTCTCTAAGGTGCAGGGTATAGTATCGGGTGGTAACCGGCTAGTGACAGTGTCTAAGGTTCAGGGCAGGGTACTGTGCGGAGGCCGGCTAGTGGTGACTGTTTAACAGTCTGATGGCCTGGAGATAGAAGCTGTTTATCAGTCTCTCTGTCCTAGCTTTGATGCAGCTGTACTGTCTCCACCTTCTAGATGGTGGCAGGGTAAACAGGCCATGGCTTGAGAGGTTCTTGATTATCTTCTTGGCCTTCCTGTGACACCGGGTGCTGTAGATGTCCTGGAGGGCAGGCAGTGTGCCCCCAGTGATGCGTTGGGCTGACCACACTACCCTCTGGAGATCCCTGCGGTTGTGGGCGGTGCAATTGCCGTACCATGCAGTAATACAGTCATTTGTCAAAATACTTTTGACACCTTCAAATGGGGGGACTAAATATGTAAAGTGCATTCATTTCTAAACGGTAAAATAGATATGTATGAAAATACCCTTGAATAAAAGGTGAGATGCTGTACTGTCGCCTCATATAAAGCATTTGATGTCAAATATAGAGCCAAATTAAAAGCTTTAGCTTCACTGTCCAAATAAATACGTAGGGGAGTGTATCTGGCGTTATTGTTTTATCAGGCCACCAGAGAATTACAAAAATAATATCCTTATAGGAGTTTAATTCTTGAACAACATAAATCGTATGTATTTTAAACCCATTTAGAATAATCCCTCCAACACAATCAACACACATCTCAGTGATTTCATTCCTTCTGCTAGGAATGATTCAACTGACCTCAGGCTTGTGTTTTTTCCCCGGTTGTCTTTCCAAACGGAAAAATCCACAAAGCAAATTTCTGTGGTTTGTGAGCTTGATTTCTGAGGAGGGAAAATCCTGTTTTACTAGAAGGGTGCGTGGCACCGAGCACTGGAGTGCCGAATCGCCTGCAGCCTCTTCTGCTTCGGCTCTCAGAGAGAGAGAGAATACCATTACACCTAGGTAATTCATATTGTGTTGTTCCTCCCAACAATGTGATGCAAAACAATTAGGTAACACTGGACCTTTTCTCCCTGTTCATTAAAAACACATTGGACTACCGGTTCCCTACATCTGAGAGAGCCCGTTAATTCTTACCGGGAACATCACTCAGACAAAGAAAAAGTGCTTTGTTGAACAATGCCGCTCCCAGATTCAAAGTGAAGCCCTCGTAATTGTGTTTGTGAGCACACCTTGCCTTGTATGGTTTGATTTGGCATTCCTCGAGCCAGCCCCTAACAGAGGTGCATTCATCATCAGAAACTGTAGTAAAACAGCGCTGTGTGCTACTGTTGCCTGAGCAAGGGGTGTGTCTCTCAAATTGAGCTTAATACTGGTTTCCCTCTACAGATACCAAACAGAATGGTATTAAACAGCTAGCTAGCCTGGCTCCTTCCTCCTGTCTCTCTCTCTTCAATAACAACCATAGTAGAGGGCGGCCAAGCTTCTGCAGTCTCAGGATTTTACCTAATTATCCAGCATTAAGTCTAAATGGAAGGAATCCCCCCCTCTTCGTAGTTTACTCCACATGGCTGCAATAAGGATAAGCCACAGTCTTATAAATTAGACTTTACAGGCACTTCACCTCAGAGGGGCTGCAGGGGACTGACACTGAAAGTGAGGACGCAGCAGGAGCTGCAATCCATATGGTCCTATTACTGTACACTGTACATCAACACAACACAAGACAGGGGTGGGCGGAAACCGCCGGGGAGAGTGATAGGCTACCGCTGGGCGGCAGGGCAGACAGACTGTGGTGGGCCAGTGGAATGTCAGTATGTCACAAGGGTTATTGTAATGAAAATGGGTGTGGGACACAACCAGCCAGCCAGCCAGCCCAGCACCACTGGGTTTTATTTACTAGGCTGTATAGAATGTTCGGTGCTGACCCGATAAAAGATTAACTGGTACTTTAAAGTGTTTGTTTATGGTCATTAGAGCTGTCGGGTTGTCTCACCACACTCCAAGGGCTTGGAACAATGGCAGTGCTGATGGTAATGCTGGCAATTTCCCTGTTTTTTCGCAGGTCACTGCCAGGGGATTCGCCCCATTGTTGCAGTTTGCCTACACTGCTAAGCTGTTACTCAGCAGAGAAAACATCCAGGAGGTCATCCGCTGTGCCGAATTCCTGCGCATGCACAACCTGGAGGACTCGTGCTTTCGCTTCCTGGAGGCCCAGCTCCGCAGCGAGGAGGACGGCCTGCTGCTGTGCCACAAGGTGGCGCCGGCCGAGGGCAACCACGAGACCGAGGACGAGAGCATGCAGTCTGAGACGACAACAAAGGTCACCTCCCCCCGGGCCCGGCGGCGCGCTGAAGCTTTGGCCTCCTTGCAGCAAGCAGCGGACGCGGACCAGCTAGCCATGGCGGTGCCCAGCGACTTCGCAGACGGACGGCTGGACTTCGACAGGCACGGAGCGTCGGACCTCCCCCGCTGCCCCAAATACAGGAAGTACCAGTGGGCCTGCAACAAGCACAATAACAACACCTCCTCACATACAAGTACCTCAGGTTTTCCAAGCACATTATTATTTAAGGAGACCAGCGGTGGCATCAGCGACGGGGCGGTCCGGGACCAGAGCAGGCCGCCGGTGGCCCAAATCAAAGTGGAGCCGCGGGCAGAGGAAGAGGTAATCTCGCTGTACCTGTCGGGGGACGAGCAGGACGGCCAGGACAAGGATGATGTGACAGCCATGGAATTGGACAGTGTCCCAGTGGTATCCCCCTCTTCCGTCAAGCGGAGCAAGTCCCCTACCTGCCTCCGCGCCTTCTTCAAGAAAGGAACGGACCTGCCAGGTCTACCCAACGCATCGCAACAGCTATTCGCCAACAAACTCGCCAGCATCTGCCCCCAAGACAAAGAAACCACTCAGGGAGATCACAAAACAAAAGATTTCAGGCCTTTCACTGCAGGGGAGCTGGGCCTGTCTGTTACATCCCCAAAGGAAGTGGACGGCTTCCCTCCGAGGCTGTCGGCGCTGAAGTCTGCCTCCTGCGACGGCGTTTGCAAACAGGAAGTGGAGCTGGACCGCCGCAGTGTCATTTTTTCCTCCTCAGGGGCCTGCGACCGTCTGGGCACCCCGGCGCATTCCTGCAATGGTGGTAACTCTTTGGAGATGGAGCTCTCAGAGCACACGCCAAAGAGTCTGTGGGATGGTGCCAGCCAGTCCCTCCCCACCTCCGAGACCTACTCTCCCAGCAGCGCCCCCTCCCTCGCTTCCACCACCACAGAGTCCCCGCCGCTCCTCTGCCGCCTGCGGCCCAACACCAGCTGCCCAGTGCCAATCAAGGTGTGCACGCGCTCACCGCCCTCCGAGACCCGCACGCGGACCTCCAGCTCCTGCTCCTCCTACTCTTACGCGGAGGATGGGAGCGGCGGCTCCCCCTGCAGCCTGCCCCAGTTTGAGTTCTCCTCCTCGCCGTGTTCCAACGTGGCGCTCCGCCTCGCCGCCGACCAGCAGGACCAGAGCGTGATGGGGGGAGATGCCCTCTTCAACCAGGTGCGCCCCAAGATCAAGTGCGAGCAGTCGTACGGCACCAACTCCAGCGACGAGTCGGGATCCTTCTCCGAGGGTGACAGCGAGTTGTGTCGAGTCGAGCAAGGGCCAGAGGTGAGTGAATTGAACACTATCACACTGTCTTCTCTCATGTCGAACACAATCCCTCGTACACCCAGTCCCACCTTGGGGACTAATCATCATCTCAGAGTGACCTAGCTCTCCAGGTCTGCATTTACAGTCATTAGATCATCATGTAATTGAAGCGGGAGTATTATTTCACTAAAAGATTTACAGCAACACCACCGTGAATAGAACAGGGGAACAGATGTGCTTTGATAATATTAATCGGCTTTACGCACTGTTTGAGATCTGTGTAATGAGTCTGAATAGGAGCGAGGGTCCAAACCAAATGCGCTCGCTAGAACAATCTGAGCCCACACACACACACACACACACACACACACACACACTCCCGAGGAGGTGGTTGTTGTGTCGAGGGCTGTGATTGGTTGATCCTATGGACAGGGAAGCGCTGGTGTGTGTAGAAGGGCTAATAGACTGAGATGTAGATGGGGGAGCTGGCGAGGAGTCAGGGTTCTCTCTAAGGCCAGGGTCTGAAGGCTTTCTCTTGTAGCTTTATCTATGCCCCCCTAGCTGTCACAGGCTAAATAGCTGATATTATCCCTTCACAAGCCTGACATCTCTAATCCAATTCCACACAATCTGCATCTGCTAATTGTCGAGACACTTCGCTGGGCATTGACATGAATACTGTATCACCAATATACCTACACTACTTGAAGGTGAAGGTAGCCTTTGTTGTATGACATGTATATACAAATATAGCTTATAGTGTATGTGACAGATATACGCCTACACTATTTGAAGGTAGACTATGTTGGGTTATGCACACCTATAGGGCATATACACTATGTTTGTGATAGTCATAGGACAATAGCAGTGTAATGAAAAAGGATGTAGCTGTACAGTGCACGTGGTTTGATGGAGGAGGGGCTGCTCCGCGTTGTGTCATGATGAGACTGCATCCTGCAGCGCCTGGCGTGCTTCTGACAAGGATGGATGGCCAATCCCCTAATCATCCCCTAATCCATCTGGCCAGACAACCGACGTCCTCCAGGCTGACTGCAGAACAGCCCTGTTGTTGTTGTTGATGTTGTTGTTATTTACTGTGAGATCACTAAGGATAAATATAATACAGCCTAGTCAAGTGGACAATTATAATCAGGATGAAAGCTGTTTTGTTCCATCAAAGGGACATTTTAAATGATTTTTATTTATTCATACAGAATGTCTCTGATGCTTCTTTAATTTCGTCTTGAAACGATTGCATCAGTAGCATTTGCTTTTGTTGTAGGCAGACGTGCTTTCTCTTTGCCTGGAAGATAAAGGCTTGCCGCTTCTCAGCCTGAGACCTTGAAGTGCGCAGGGAGCCGAGAGAGAGGGAAAGAGAGGGAGGAGAGAAACTGGTGTGTTGCCATGGCGATCAGATTCACAGAGCCTAGTCCCTGTTTCGCCAACGTTGAAGCCACATGACAGGATTGAGCCTGTGACTGTGGAAAGAATCCAGTCAGTCACTTCTTCTGTGCACAAACAGAGAGCGGCAAGATTAACAGCCCTAGCAGTAATGTGTAATTATTACCTTAGTGGCACCCACACCCAGTGATTTATGGGCCGTTTGAAGGACTGTTGAGTGCTCTACTATAGACAATTGTAATTTACAGCGTTAGAGCTGTCGAGGAAGAATAAAGCAGCCCCAAAATGACTCTTCAGACATTTCCAGTTCCCTTTGTTATCTTGTATGAGTCAAAGAGCGTATGGACACACACTACACTATATTGTAGGCAGTCGATTAGCAGCGCACAAAATCCACTGTCAGATCCAATGACTGTATATATGAATGGACAAAGCCACTGATCACGTGACACCATTCATTCCTATGTGAAGATTCAATAGCGCATTGAAGCCAAATTAAGTCGGTTAAGATGGCGTCTCATGGAGACATAACATGCGCAGTTTGAGCTACTCCAGGAAGTGACGTTGCAGGCTAGTTCAGTGCTGTCCCCTCTCATTGAGTAACTCAAGTTGAAGGCCGCCTGGGGTACTGCAGACTGTCATTAGCATCCTTATAATTTATTCTTTGTGCAATTAAAAAATGATTGGTTCAAGGACAGACATCTGGTGTATTAGAAGCGATTATTGGTACCATGATTGTCTTCATTTGTATTATTTTTGACACAAAGATTGACCACGAAGTTTGTCATGTTTCCATTCACTATAATGGGGATCCTGTTTTCTGCTAACAATGCCTGCAGTGCCATGGTCGGCCATGAATTTCTCTGGCTTCAATGAGAGGGGGCAGTCGTTCTCCCCTGGTCAGACCTCTATTGACCCGCATGGAGTTATATCTGCCTGCTGCTGATAAGATGTATTATGAATGAGGCTGGCTGTCTGTGCTTGGTCTCAGATGCTGCTGTGTGTGTAAGAAACACTCTCAGTAGTGCTGTTTGGTTTATTACATGTTCTTATGGATGGGGGCGTAGGAGAGCATTTACATAAGGAGCCTCAGTGTGGGGCCTTCAGCTTTATCTGGCAACAAAACTGCCACCTCATGCTTCCTGGGGCCCTCTTTTCCTTATTCACCCCAGTGAGTCGGCTGTACAAACAAACACAGCTAGCGTCCAGGGAGGGCTCTGCCATGCCTCTCCCTCTGTGTGTTTGCAGAGCAAATGATAGGCAGACCGGGCCCCACTCAGGGAGAGCAAGCCAGGCAAGCGCCCTACGCTGCTGTTGAAAATATCTGCAGCCCCAGCGCTGGGAACAATGAATTCTGACGGGGAAGGAAGTTGTTAAACTGGAGGCTAGTCTGGCAGAGGGAGGCAATAGTCATTCAAGGTAGTCCGAGTCAAACAAGGTCTCCTGGCTGCTCCCAGTACTGAGGTTAGGGGGTGTTGCATACGAGCCCACATCTGGTAGCCACATTAGCAACACCTTCACACGTAGCAGACACTACACTACTCTGGGGTAACTTTTTAATTGCCTCAATTTTACACATTAGCTGTATTTCTACTGCTTCCCAGCTGGACAATATGCTACCTAGTGAATCAGTCAATAGGGTCAGTAGAGGCCCCTCTGTAACATGGAGTAGTAAGTGCTGATCGAGGATCAGTTTTGCCTTTTCAGATCATAATGAATACAATTATGTGGAGAAGGGGGAGCTGATCCTAGATCAGCACACTTTGTGAATACGGACCCAGTACACCACCACCAGCCAATGTTTTTGCACGATACACCCACAGAGGAGGAAACAGAGATGGAATTCACATTGATAAAGGAGATGGAAATCACAGTGACAAAGGAGATGGAATTCACAGTGATAAAGGCGATGGGATTCACAGTGATAAAGGAGAATTAAAGATCTGAGACCTTTTTCTCTCTCTTTCTCTCTCTCTCTTTCTCTCTCTCTCTCTCTTTCTCTCCCGCTCTCTTTCTCTCGCTCGCTCTCGCACTCTCTCTCTCTCTCTCCCTGTGTAGGCGTTAAGCTCAATCTAACATATTGTCTGGTCACAGTATGCAGCAAATATTGATCTGAGAGTGGGGTGAGAGTGATATGGAAGTAGTCTTGATATATTAGCAGCACAATGTTTCCTATCTCGCCCACCACCAAACGTTAACCCCTGAATGAATGTGTGACACAGGAAGCGCACAAACCTAAATATCACTTCTGTTATTACTATTATAGCCTACAGTCAAAATCATTTTGGCATACAGTGTAAACCACATTATACTGATTTGGTGCAGCCTTTTGCCTTATGCCTGCTGTATGTGATAAAGTCCTAAGTGTGTTATGTATGGCTCATTATGGGAATAAGCGGTGACAGTGAGTGAGAGTATATTTATTTGTCCATTGAAATTACTTTTATTTGTCCTTTGAGGTGACTAAGCAAGCTTTTGTAGGTTTTGTTATTTGTCTTGTGTGCAGACAGAGTCAGGCTGTTGTTGTGCCCAATAGGGGAGGGTCGGATGCTGGGGCTGGCAGCTGATATCCAACAGGCTCTGTGTCAGCTTTAAAGCCAGCTGGGGCGCTGCCACTTTGCCTGCCATCCCCTGTGACCTGGCATCCTGCAGTAGCAGTACCCACAGAGACACAGTCCATCTCTTTACCACAGAGCCTCTCTAACTCATCTCCCAGAGGGGGTTCCGGCAACAGCGTTTGTTTACGGTAGAAAAAGCAATACGATACTAAACGGGGCTCTGTAAAAACATTATCTTCTCCCAGATCTCCATAGGATGCAAAATGCTCTGTAATCACATTATAAACCAACATGTGATTTATTGCAGGGTTAATCGCTGTGGAACTGGGAGCATATAGTATATAATCAACATAGAAAGACGCTAGTGTTCACATTTATGTTGATCGTACTTACCAGATAAAGGTCTCTTTTTGATGCAGAGACAGAGCCACAGTCACAATAGCAGCACTATAGAAATCAGGAGTAACTAGTGGGAGACGGTTAGACCTGAAGAACAAGTCACAGTTTGTGGCCATTTTAGTCAATTGCTTCACCTTTCAGAGAAAATTGTTCTGAACATTGGAAGTATAGATGTAGGATCTTAATTTGAGCCAGTTTGCTACAGCAGAACATTTATCCTGCAGCAACAGGAAATGTGGATTATTATGTGGATTATAATTAATGGACATTTTTTGTAGGGATTGATACATTTTTCATTAAGGCAAATCAAGTCTGACATTTTAAAGAGGAAATTACAAACTTTAGAAGCCGTTTTAACCCTTGAATACACTACAAGTTAGCATTTCCTGCTGTGTAGGAAAATTCTCAGCAACAAAAGAGTGATCAAATTAAGATCCTACATCTGTATGTATTGCCCCAGGGCTTGTGTCAATAGTTAGGAAGGAACACAGTAGTAGCTGGCGTTGCATGCCTCTCTCTTGCACAGTACACTGCAGTGTTAAACTCACTCCCAGGGTTCAACGTGGGTCACCAACCCTACAGATGAGGACTGGCAGTCAGGCTGTACAGAACCCACTGAACCCAGGCGTTATCCGTCATCGTCGGGCCGCCCCACCATCTGACTCTTATGGGTCGGCCCAAGTCTGGACCTGCAGGCAGCCAGATGCCCAGCCTCTCTCTGTGTGTCTGAGGGGGGAGGAAAGTAGGGTAAAGAGGCACTGCACACCCAGTGCTGCCCGGGTAACAGATGAGCCCTACTTTTCACTCTGGACCTATTTGCAGCATAGTGACCCAGAGAAAGAGTGAGTCTGGGGGGAATAGAGGGGAAAGAGGAGAGGAAGGGGGGAAAAAGAAAGGCAATGAGAATCCAGAACACATTGGGTCTGAATTTATGACTGCCGTCAGAGCTGCGCTCTGTCATCCCAGCCTTGTTACTGGACTGATTCTCCTGGTGGAGCCACTAAATATAGCCTAGACGTCCCTCCCGCACTGCGCCGCACGCCACTGCCGGGAAGAAAGAATAAAAGAACCTCACAAGGTCGCTCGCTGTGGAGAGGTGGCTGTATGTCTCCTCCCTCCCCTAGCCTGTCTCGGGGAAAGAGCCCCCCATCAGTACATCTGTATGGTCACTCCAAAGACCTCTATATGGCGCTCAAAGGGGCTGGCAGAGTCATCTTCTGTTCGTTTAGATCCCACAGAGCAGGCAGGGTGTGGATGTGTTCCATCACCCTCCCTCTCTTTCTCCCTTCTCTCTGTAGCTACTGTCATGCCCTGGCTAGTAGTGGGAGGGAGCCTGCAGGGCCTAGTGTGGCCTTGAAAAGCTCTGTCCATTATTTATGAATGTGTCTGCATGCAGATGTCGAGCGAGCGGAGGAGCCAGATGAGAAATGGGCTCAACGGCTCTCGGAGGTCTGAGGGCTTCTAATGAGGAAATTCAAGCCGCTCTCTCTGGGATAAATTGATATCTAGATTTGCTCTTCAATAGAGAGTGATTTCGATGCGCTCGTGAATAGGCACCTTGCTTTGTCCCCTGAAGTGCAGCACTTACCCTAGGTGATGCCGTATATCTCGGCTCACTGTGGTGTGTGTGTGTGTGTGGTAACTAGAGTGAGTGTATCCAGGCTCCAGCCCAGTCCATTGTCCTCTAGTCTACTGCAGGTGTTTTTAGTGGGGCTCAGTTTGCAGTCACGAGGGGCTGTAGGAGTCTCCATCTGGCCCTGGTTCAGCAGCCAGGTACAGAGAGAGCGGGGAAACGTTTCTCGTCACCCTTCCCTCCCTCCTATCCGTCCTCGCCGTTTGACTTTGTTCTTGACGTGCTCCAGAGAGGCAGCCTTGGGGAGAGAGAGCAGAGCGGAAGAGAGCAGCAGCTCATCTCATATTGGCAAGCTCTCTGGCTGTCTTCCTCTGGCTCTTTGTTATTCCTCCTCGCCTCTCTCCCTCTCTGCCATTCTGTTTCTTTCTCTCCTCACTTCTCTGCTACGGCTCCCTGGTGCTGTGAGATACCGCTGGGGTGTGTGGGTATCAGAAGGTTTGTCAGCACCTGAGGGAACAGAAAGAATCAGGCGATCTGTTGATGCTTTGTGGGAGGGAAAATCACACCCTCATGGATATTGTCAGCAAATCCATGGAAATAATAAGGGGGGAAATGTATTGTGATTTTGCAATTATCTGTATTTTATTGCCAATTATTTTTCTCCGGATGAGTGTTGCACTATGTGACTGAAGGTGTCAAAGAAAGTATGGCTTTCTTTTGTTCTGCAGTCCCTGTGGACTATTGCAGGTTGATAGTATAGATCTGGCATGTAAGATTATATATTTTTGCCTCCCTCCTAAAGTTTGTAGTGTTTTGGGTCAAAAAAGACTGTAAAATCACCAGGAATTCAGCAAAATATTTGTTTAATTCACACAAATAAAAAAAGAGACGTGATCGTGTCTCAATCTAATTCAACGTATGAAATGATTGTTATTTTCAAATACAATCTCTTTTTGGGCTTAGTTGTGGTCAATTTGCAGTGTACAAATTAATATAATAAGTTCCGTTCCCCATCCCACCATCCGCTCCGACAAAAAACGGCCCACGGCTGAATCTAGTTGCCTTCCCCTGGTATAGATGTTACATATCATGCCCTCCAGACATCACCTGACACCAATATGGATGGGGGTTAAGGGCTGTAAGTAAGCATTTCACGGTAATGTCTACACCTGTTGTATTCGGCCCATGTGGCAAATAAAATTTGATTTGATTTGGGTCACAAGTCCCTGCCTGTCCCTCCTCGATCCGTCACGCTGGCACCTCTCCAAGCTAGCAGGGACAGATGGAGAGACACTCATTTCTTGGATCACATTGTCCCCCTCTGCCCGAAAATAGGTTACATGATGTTCAATATTTCAGGTTGAGAGAGAGAGAGTGCTTTACATGTGAATGTATGTAAGTCACATTCTCTATTTCTGGTCCTGGCGGTGCTCTTGCGCCATCTTGTGGTAGAATGTGGCAGTCCGTTTTTTGCATTTACATAAGGTCTAACCAGTAGGGAGGGGTTCATCAAAATGTTCATTCACATTCATGTTCATTCCATATTCAATTCAAAAGTGAACGCTATATCACGTCAGATGTGAAAAGTAATTTGTAATTTATTTATTTGCAGGTAAAGCTTCCTTTCCCTGTAGATCAAATCACAAATCTTCCACGGAACGACTTCCAAATGATGGTAAAAATGCACAAACTGACCTCAGAGCAGCTGGAGTTCATCCATGACGTCCGGCGGCGGAGTAAGAACCGCATCGCAGCGCAGCGCTGTCGCAAGAGGAAGCTTGACTGCATCATGAACCTGGAGTGTGAGATCAGAAAATTGGTCAGTATGTCTGTCATTCTCTCTCATAGACATACTGTGCACACCAGAGGAGGCTGGTGAGAGGAGCTATAGGAGGACAGGCTTATTGTAATGGCTGGAATGAAAATAGCTCCTCCCACCAGCCTCCTCTGGCACATACAATACTGCAGCACATAGTGTGTGGACCTACTGGGTTGTAGAGTAGTAGAACAATGTGATGTCTATATAGAACCGTTCTCTCCCTGGACTTACTAATGATAACATGTTGACAGTGCAACAAGCATTACCTTGGAATAGAGTAATATTAATTATATCAACACTGTCAGCACTTTCACGCTGGCCGAGCTGTCAAAGTACAGTAATGTGTGTGTAGGCTGGTGTAGGGGGAAGAATATTAAAGTAGAGGATCCCCAGTAGAGTGCTGGCTGTATGTCTCCCACCTTGCCTTCTCGCCCCCACGTTTCCATGGCATCGCGGCAGGCGGTCTCTCACAGGCAGCCAGTATGCTTTTTCCGTGATGGGGTGGAGCTGCAGGCCTTTGGTGTGTTGTGTGTGTCAGCCACACACACACACACACACACACACACTAGTGCTTTACACTCCACAGTGGACTGACAGCCTTCCCCTTGATGTCACCCAGCAGCATCCTAGATATGAGAACATCATCATCATCTCAAACCGCTTTCCACCACCTCGTCCCATGTTACCTCAGTGCACACAGCATCCTGGAAATGCTCGCTCATCACAAACCTTATCAACAGCATGCTTGCTATTGAAACGGCATTATTTAACATAAGCTTAGGGAGCAAACAATATAGCTAGGCCATGTGAACTCTTTTATGTTGATATGAAGAAGTGAATGGCATGTAGCAAGCATCCATGTCACTCTGCTGCTATAGGTAGTATGAAGCATTTATAGAACATCGACTGTGCAGCTGCAGTGTCAAAGGGCATCACAGTATGTACTGCATGTCTCTTTGCTCCTTGTCAGACCACAGCTCATGACACTAGTCCTCATCCCTAATATTTCCTTTTGTGTCCACCAGGTGAACGAGAAGGACAAGCTGCTGGCAGAGAGGAACCAGCTGAAGGAGTGTATGGGCGAGCTGTGGGAGAACTTCTCCTGTCTGTCCCAGGAGGTGTGCAGGGACGTGCAGCTGAGCCCGGAGCAGGTCCAGTCCCTGAACCACTACTGCCCTGTTCTGAAGCCCGGCACCAACACCACCGACACTGCCATCAATGCTGCCTCCAACAGCATTGACCTTACCACCCACTCCGGCTCAGCCACCCCGGAGCCCAGCTTCCTGAAGTCCCCCGGGCCCTCAGAGAGCGAGCCTGACTCGGCCATGGGGAATGAGGCTGACGGGGGGGGAGGCGGCAACGAGGCGGAAGGGCAGGAGCCGAGGTTATACATGGAGGCGGGGCTCTCGTTCAATGAACAGTCCAATCAGACGGTGACGGTAGACTTCTGCCAGGAAATGACTGATAAATGTACAACTGACGAACAGCCGAGAAAGGACTGTACATAGTAAACTGTGGTTTTTATACCTGCGTTTTTTTATTATTTAATTTGTATTTTTTATTTTCTTCTGACAAACCCCTTTCTCTGGGTTGTTGAGATGGTCAGCCTTGGCCAGTGTTCTCTGAAAACATTTTTTGTTTGTATGTCTTTTTGGTTGTCTTTTTAAAGGTTGACACTACAGTTGTCTTAAGAGCAGCAATACTGTTCTCCAGGTATTCTCCTCTCTGCAACCATGACAGAGTGGGAACTTCACACAAAACTCCTCTCACAATGGTGCTACACCGTGACCGGGCAGGCAGCGATCTCCACAGTGGGAACATTGTTCTCTATCTATGTATTACAGTCTACTCACAAGGATGGGCAAAGATCACATCTTCAACTCAAACCTCAATGGACCTAACAGCAGCTCTCTTTGTCTCTCAATCTACCTACAGCTTCTATCTCTCTGTCTCTCTCGCTATTTCTCAATATCTCTCTTTCTCACTCTCACTATTTCTCTCGCTCTCCCTTTCTCTCTCTCTCTGTGTCTCTCTCACTCTCTCTCCTACTCTGTCTATTTTCTATCAATCTATTTCACTTTCGCTCTCTGTACATTTGTCTATCTCTCTCTCTTATTCTCTCACTCTCTCTCGGTGGCCCTTGTCACAGCAATTCAAACTCAGGAAGAAATCTTCTGAATGTTCAACATGATTCATGAAAATAAGAATACAGCTTCTGTACATGAGAGATTTATGAAGCAGTTAGACTGTACATGTTCATATGCAAAAATGTCTTCTGCTTCACTCATTTGCATTTTCTGTACAGAAAAACAATGTGTGCAGACAGTACCTAAACAGTCCTCCTTTGCCTTCCTCAGCACTGAAACGAAAGAGAAAAATGAGTGATTTGACAGGTGGTTAAATAGCTATGTTCCCACCAGGGTTGGGGTCAATTCCATTTCAATTCCAGTCAATTCAGGAAGTACACTGAAATTCCAATTCTCTTCAAGGCTTTTCAATGAGGAAATTGGAATTGGAATTTGGTTTACTTTTTGAATTGACTGGAATTGAAATTGACCCCAACTCTGGTTCCCACACATCAGCAATACCATTGTATGTGGATGTTGTAATGGTAACTTTCAAGTGCTTGCTTCGGCAGAACGTATAATGTATATAGTATGGAGCATGGTGACTGTCACAGTAATATTGTACAAGTAGAGGCTTAAACGTTTCTTTTCACTGGGGTTTTTGTTAAGGGAAAATATTTGCTTTGCTGTTTCCTGCCTAAAGGAAAATTCCCCATAAGGGTGGGTGTTCTTAAACTCAGGAAATCAGCTTGACACACACACTCAAACACGCACACACAAACACGCACACACATAGACACACATTCATTTTAGAGCCCCTTGCATGAAAATTGGATGTTGCTGGCGAGGACAGTGTAAGCATGTTATTAACCAGTGGCTCAAGCCGCATCCATTCAAACTTTGACACTTCTTTAAATGTGAAAAAGAGTTTCATCTTGTTGTGTTTTTGAGGAAACTTTATTTCTTCTTATCAGTATTTAAAGATGCTATATGTATGATGGTGAAAACTCTCACCCTTTGAATTTCTTCAGTGTTATGTTTCAATGTTGTCAAGGAATGTGTGAGTAGACACCTTCTCAAGCTGAGGGATAGCTATTCTGTCTGTAACAAAAAAACATACACAAAATATGTATATTTACTAAGGATACTTTCTCTAATGAATCTGGGCTCAATTCAGGCTCTTTCCTTCCAGCACCAGATGCTCAGTTATAACTAGTTCTAATAGCACTTCATAGAGGGTTTATGTCAGATTCAAAACCCTGAAAAGTCTGATACTGAAGCACTTAAATTGGCACTTAAATTAAAACATCTTATTGATATGTTAATATTGATATAAATATCTCTATGAAGACATGCCTTTTTTTTTTACTATAGTAAACAGGTTTATTAACAAAAAGGAAGCTAACATAATATTGAGAGTGTTCACATCTTATATTTGTAATTCCTTAAGAATTGAAAAAGCTAGAGACTTCAGTTCATGTGAAAGCAGTGTATGTGTCATCATCAAACTGATTGAGTAACAATCATATGATATAGTAACATTTTTGCCCTGATTGTACATTTTTTTTAAACATCATATTATGTGATGTGAATGCATGCGCCTGTATATTTTACCTAGTTAGTCTAGCTTGTGTTTGCTTCTAACGATAGTCCTCAGCTAAATGATTTACTCTGTCTTCTTTTGATTAACAATATTTACATTTATAATGTATTGACATTTATAATGTACATATACAGAAATCATTTTCTTATCTGTTCAACAGTCAGAGATGTGCTTGAAAATACAGCATATTAGAAATAGAGCCATTACATATGAAGAGGAGTGAATTCAATTGGAATATAAAGCTTTACTCATAACTTTAACTTCATTCAGGATGAAAAGCTATACAGTCTGTTGGAAAGAGCGATGATATACTGTATATTGACGAGTCTGCAAATTCCCCTTCGCGTTACCCTGCTGCCCCCCCTTGGACACAGTTGTGTAGTTCTCCAATCAGTCTTGACTGAGATCAAACCTTGTTGTGATATTAGAGTGCTCTGTGTTTCGCAGTGTGTTTGCTAGTCTGACTATTTGACCATTCACCTAAGTCTCCTTAAGGTTGTAGCTAGACCCATATACAGTCACACACAGAGAACCACAAATATGAATACATACACACACATGATACATGTCTAATGGCATCCTTACTTAAAGGCTTGAGTCTAGAGCAGTTGTGATTGCCTGTTGTTATTGTTGTTTGTGAGGTTATTTTTCCACTTTGCTCTGATTCATATGCTATCACTGAAGTGGAACAGTATTCATCCCCATTATCAGGTACAAAATAGAAAACTAAAGATAGATGGATTCAAGTGGACATTTGTGCAAGCCATATGCAATTCCTACCCAATAGATGTACTTTTTCTTACTCATTTTTGAAGTAAAAATGAAAAGCATGACGTTCCACCAGAAAAGCACACTCTCATTGGGCTACGCTTTGACAAATGTCACATTTTGGGAAAATGTATTGAAATTCATCAAGTTTATATTGTCCTCATCAAAGCTATACCAATAGATATCCCTCTATCCGTTTTTAGATGTCCTTATAATGCTATTATGATTACTGTTGATGTTCTTTGGATAGCAATGAGTGCATAGCATATTTCTGGTGTGTAGGCTACTGTACGTAACAATTCCTCATCAATGTTTTTGCTCTACCTAGAGAGCCCCTGGATTCATGTAAAAGCTGGTTGGTGGATGCAGCTAGAAGGTAATGCAAAGTAATGAAGGGTTTTTAATCTAGTCAATTGACAGTCCAGTCCTATACCTCTTAGCCCTCTAGCCTTGAGAGAGCTACTCCATGCCTGGTTTGCTGTGTGTGGTGTTACTATGGTGGCCAGTGGTTGAAAGTAGAGCATGGTCACCTCTACGGTCACCCCAAGCATTCCAGGTGAAATAAGCTTGTTGTGTCATCATCTCAATCACACAGTGATTTGTCTGGTTGACTTTAACCAGGACCAGTCATTGCTCTTGTATATCGTCTCAGGGTGCCAAGTGTTTTATTTCTCCATTTCTGAATCTGGAGCAGACCTTTGTACTTTAGTTGGTTTTGTTTTATTCTTTGTTTGCTTTGATGTTTTTGGCTTCGCTTTGAGTGTCTGAAAGTATAGCTCTAAACTCTGGTTTTATATTCCCGAAGCTTATTTCTACCAATGAAAATACTGTGTAATAGGCTTGGCACAATACAGATCAAACCGATCAAGAGGCTGCAGAGAGTACATAATACATTGGAGTACAAATATGAATAATTGAATTATGTTTTGGTAATACATTTAGTTATTAGGTGGATTTCCCTGAAGTTTTTTTTTACCTCTGCAGCTTTTCACAAGCCAAACACGCAACAACAAAAAAAGCCATGTCATTTGATTTGTTAACTGGCTTTGGTTATTAGTTGGTGGATATTTGTTGTAAAGCTAGGTGCATTGAATGCATTATCTTTTTAAAAGGCTTTTGTGTTGTATTATTTTCTGGTTTAGTTTAACTTTTGTTTGTTTTAGTTTTTCTGTGCTGCTTCTCTTGAAAAAAAACACTGTCTCTCCAACTCCAAAGGTTGTTGTTTTGAAAAGATTAACAAAACTAGCCTTTTTCACAAATTGCTCAACTTTATAATACAGTATACTGGTATCCTGATTACATGCACAGGCTGATACCATTTTAGGAGTAAAAGAAAAGTAAAATATGTTTACAAAAATGTGTCACATGTCATGATGTGTTTATTCAATTTGCCATGTATATAGAAATTGGTAGGTTAAAATTGGACTGATGGTTAGTGTTTTTACATCTGTAAACAGAAAACTATGTGTTTCCTCAACTTGTCTTTTCATTCAACTGGGGATGTTTCAGAGTTACATGGATACAAGTGCACCTCCGATTTTTGCCTTAGAACTTGCAGAGGCCATAGTTCACATTCAAGTGAAGTGTATGCAGGGGCCTACGCCCCCCATTTCTGAGTCACCACCAGTGCGGACTTTCTCACACTTATCTACCTGTGAAATCCTTCATACCTCTCATAATTGGTCAATGACTGTATCAGCAAACTGCATCAGGTGTTTGTTTTTTTTACATGCTTTTTACACAGATTATATGGATTATTGAATTAGTAGATTTTGGTGCATCATTTTTTTAATGTAATAACTCTTAAGCTTGTAGTCACAAAGTAGTTTTTCTCTCTCGTTTTTCTAGAAGACTGTTTTGTGTTAATATTGTCAATTTGAAATAGCTGTTATTTGCTTATTCTCTACTAAGTGTTCTTACCTTGTTCATTTTCAAATGCTACACAACCCTAATGAATTAAAATGACTTAATAACCATTGTAAATATGGTATTGTGTAAACCCCATTTTCATTCATTTAAATTGATAGTGTTATATAAATGACATTTTTGTCTAGACACCATTTCTGTTTAT